CTATAAAACCAGCTTAAGTCTGGGCTAGTACAAGCAGCCGCACATACACATACACACGCATGCATGCACGTCGTCATATGAGCGAAATATTCTCAAGCACGATGTAAAACCCAATTTCACCTCACCTCACCTCATAAGCCACAACGAGAGCTTCCAGGAGGGAATCTGAGGGAATACTTGAGGGATCAGTACTGTTGTTGAGTGGGAGGTCAGGGACCAGTACTGTTGTTGAGTGGGAGGTCAGGGATCAGTACTGTTGTTGAGTGGGAGGTCAGGGACCAGTACTGTTGTTGAGTGGGAGGTCAGGGACCAGTACTGTTGTTGAGAGGGAGGTCAGGGACCAGTACTGTTGTTGAGTGGGAGGTCAGGGATCAGTACTGTTGTTGAGTGGGAGGTCAGGGATCAGTACTGTTGTTGAGTGGGAGGTCAGGGACCAGTACTGTTGTTGAGTGGGAGGTCAGGGATCAGTACTGTTGTTGAGTGGGAGGTCAGGGACCAGTACTGTTGTTGAGTGGGAGATCAGGGACCAGTACTGTTGTTGAGTGGGAGGTCAGGGACCAGTACTGTTGTTGAGAGGGAGGTCAGGGACCAGTACTGTTGTTGAGTGGGAGGTCAGGGACCAGTACTGTTGTTGAGTGGGAGGTCAGGGACCAGTACTGTTGTTGAGTGGGAGGTCAGGGACCAGTACTGTTGTTGAGTGGGAGGTCAGGGACCAGTACTGTTGTTGAGAGGGAGGTCAGGGACCAGTACTGTTGTTGAGAGGGAGGTCAGGTACCAGTACTGTTGTTGAGTGGGAGGTCAGGGATCAGTACTGTTGTTGAGAGGGAGGTCAGGGACCAGTACTGTTGTTGAGTGGGAGGTCAGGGACCAGTACTGTTGTTGAGTGGGAGGTCAGGGACCAGTACTGTTGTTGAGTGGGAGGTCAGGGACCAGTACTGTTGTTGAGTGGGAGGTCAGGGACCAGTACTGTTGTTGAGTGGGAGGTCAGGGACCAGTACTGTTGTTGAGTGGGAGGTCAGGGACCAGTACTATTGTTGAGTGGGAGGTCAGGGACCAGTACTGTTGTTGAGAGGGAGGTCAGGGATCAGTACTGTTGTTGAGTGGGAGGTCAGGGACCAGTACTGTTGTTGAGTGGGAGGTCAGGGACCAGTACTGTTGTTGAGTGGGAGGTCAGGAAAGGATGTGTTGCTATCATTATTAATAACCGTTCCTGTCCTTCCTGATATGATAACACACTCCCTGTTGAAAACATGCCAACTTAGTCAATACTTCAGACTTTGCATCTGGTACAGTAACTGTCAGAGGTAACAGATTCCTTCTTCATCCTTCAGTGAATCAAGTTTTAAATTGTTGGTAGGGCTGATGACAAAGGATTGTAGAGGTTAAGCTGAACACCTTCAGTAAGGTTGTCAGTGTTGTACCCTTGAACAATAACATCATCTGACACAGCTCCTGACTCAGTTCTCCTCTTGGAAGATGCCAGGTATTGGCAAGCGAAGTTTTGCAGACATCACCATGAATGGCAGAAACATCAAAAACCTGTAGTTTTCCACTACCTGAACATTACACCTGTGATGTGGCCACAACCTATGGCTCTGACCAAAGGCATTGGAACATGGGGCAGTTGCCACAGCAAGTGGATCACAACTGAAAAATCACTGGAAAACCAATGAAGAAATTATCACTAATAATTCTAATATTACCGTTTTATTCTTTTTTTACAGCCATTGGAAGATTCATTACACCACAGTAACCAGCAACAATTGAATCAACATGTTGAGTTTAAATTATTAACAATCAAGTGAAAAAACAAAACATACCTCAAGGCCCAATCATGATAAAAGTGACAGTGATGGATACGACTAATAACTTTTGGAACAATTAATATTAGTTGACTGATATTTATTATAAATACCTCACATTGATGTGGGTGTTCGTTTTTCCTCCGCGATTGGTAACACCTGCGCACATCGCAACCACCAGTTGGGGCCACTGAAAAAATACGCGAATAGATTTTCTAAATAGATCTAGCCTAGATATAATTTCATCTGGCAATGTAACATCTGAATGTAAAGAATCGATTCTAATTAGGGGATGCCAGTCACCCCGCAGGGATACAATGACACATGTTCAACCAGATCAAATTGTGTAACCACATGGTTCCCTTAGATAGTCGGCCCTAACGACAAACCTTGGGGGCCTTATATGCTCCTGGAATATACAGTCGAATGACATCACTACCGATGACCGATTTTCGCTTATATCGGCACACAGGATTTTGCGAGGGACCTTCCACTGATTGAGGGAGCGTTTGAACATAGATATGCGATGTAAGAAATCAGAAATATTTAGACTATCTGTGTATGGTTGTTTGTTTGCATTGTTTTCATTGTAAGAAGAAGTCTTGCGTCATCATGCCTCAGTAATGGCGTTACTTTGACAATTTCGTATGAATTTATCAAAACATTGCATTGTATCAATATAACTTTCCTAATTCTTCCTTCAAAACTCTTCCGATGATATTCTGAAAATATTGAGCTAATGTATGCAACGAATAGTCGAATGGATTTCTGGAAATTTGAGAAAATGCTTCGCAGTGTAAAATATGAATATTTTATTTGTTTACATTTCAAACAACCACAATCGTGTATTTGTCTTACCTTTATATATATCTCACATTATCCGGTATATACATATATAGTGTCTGAATATAGTCTGGACTTGCGACCAATCTCATCAGACGGCAAAAACACCAAACTATCCGAGAGCAGGCGACAATTTTAAAGGTCACATGCAACGTAAAACACAACTTTGCAGATTCTGATACCTTTCGGTATGGACTTACCGAAACAAATCATCAAAAATGCAAATTCAACTTATAAAGTTGAAAAATAACGCGATGAAAAAAACCCGCGCGAAATCGGAGTTCAAACGATTCACTAATTTTCCCCCAGCGTTTGGGGGAATTCAAGTGGTTCCAACAGCTGGGCTGCGCTCATAGCACGTGCGCAGTGAAATAGGTTCGCGCAACTTGGAAGCGTGTTGTCCGGTGAATACTCGGTGAAGGCTTTGGTGTGAGCTATTTTTCTAATGTTTTGTTGATATCTCACAGGCGCGAGCTTTTTATATGTTATGACAGTAAATTAACTGTTTATATAATTTCATTTGTCTATTTCACCACACGTTCTTTTTACCGAGTCACTTTCTCAGTTCGATACTTAAAAGCAATGTCATTATTTAGCGTTGACAGAATTTCTAACTGTGATATAGATATGTCGTTGTCACAGACAAAACTCAATGTCTTGTTTTATTGACACCTGTTAGTCTGCCTGCCTGTCTGCTAATGACAATATTCAATACACAACTTCGATCACTGACCACATGCAATTTGAACTTAACACCAATCAGGCTATACACCCTAAACAGACAGGCAGGTGTGATACTTGAACACATGACATGTTATGATGTCTGTTGATTGCAAAATGTTATACACACAAAATGAGCATGTATTTACAGGTGTCCTCCCATTTGTGAGAACTCCCAGTTGTGAGACACATTAATTAATGGTTCAGTGCACATAGGTGGTGTTTCCACATCCCTACAATGAAAGTAGGATCAGCCCAGCCCAGAAACCACAGGAGACATAGTTCATTGATAAGTTGATTAATGAAATAGATTATCAAAGATTATATTTACACAGAAGAAATGGTTCATTGAATATTTTATTTATTCAGAAGAATATGTAATTATGATAACACATTTTTATTGACTATTATGAAGTTTGAAAGTCAATTTTTGGTTTAAACATATTTTTTTATTATTTATAAAAATGAATTGGGATTGGTGAAGTATTACTGCTTATGTTAATACCGCTCCCATGCAACATAAAATATAAAATGAAATGGAGGATGAGACGTCATCGATATTGACTATTGCATAAATATATCGGCGTTTGGGGTCGCTAGATCCGAGCCTGAGGCAGCAATGAACGATTTGACAAAAACAAGAGCCATAATTAAGATCAATATAAATCTTGTTTTCGGCTTTTGTAATAAGGTTTTAAAATTCTTTGAGACTGCATGACTATTTGGTATTTGGTAGGGCATTCCATAAATTTATTGTGTCGGGTAGAAAGGGTTGGGCATAAGGGGCATTTCGACTGTAAATTTCAGAGTTATTTCAGAGTTATTTCTTAAACTATAGCTTGTAGTTTCGGAGACGGAGTAAATCTGAGTACTAGGTAAATTAATTTCTCTTTGATCACGAGGTTACCTACACAAAGTGTTTAATTATTAAAGACATTTACCTGAGTATGTTGATCAATTTATCTTATAACGTTTCATTAAGTTACCTCCACAAGATTCAGTTACATAGCAAATCAGTAATTAGGATGAATCCATTCCTTCAGACAGGGGAGTATGGTGTGTTTTCGTTGTTAATTACCTACTCCACTGTCTCATAGCTGGGAGTCTCACAACTGGGAGTTCACACAAATGGGAGTAGACCTATTTACAAAACCCAACATCTCTATATATACACATACAATGAGCCGTGAGGGCATCTGCAAATGAACCAGCCGTTACACTTGAGTGCACACCCACCCGCTCTGACTGGGTTCGGTATCCCGGCTTCTTCGTTTCTTGGGAGAAACCCAAGTACAAAATATTGCACTTTTGATTTGCGATTGTACGCTTATAATTTTGTTTTTATGTTTTTCCATAACCAGCAATGCATATTATATGTCATGAATAAGTGATAATTGTGTTTTAATTATGTTTGATTTTTTGGTTGCATGTGACCTTTAACTTTCAATGACCGCGACGATACTTTAGACACTAGTTCATGGAAATAATTATCTTTGAGAAATATTGTATTGTATAAAGGATCAATCCCACTACAGCAACATTATCCTGTTTCATGTACATAACTTGAAAGCGGAACTTTTTGCTCTAGGGAGCAAATATAACGAGCACCGGTTTTTCAGGTCAGCAGACGGCTCACATGACTTACCAGTTAGAAAGTAAACAATGGCTGCATCAGATGGGAGTGGGTTGCGTTACAAAGACAAAGTCACTATTGTCACCGGCGGCTCGAAGGGAATAGGCAAAGGATGTGTTGAAGTTTTCGGTGAGTACTGTTATTTCAATAATAGCAGTATTTTTTATATTTTGGAGGATTATCAAGGATCAAACATAACTGCTACACCGTATTCTTGAAGGCAATAGACTATTTGTACCAATGTTAACTTGGACCTTCGACTCCAGTCTTCTCATCGACCAACTGTTGTTCTGCAACTGTCAGGCTGCTGACCATCAGCTGATTTATCGGTCATGTGCCTTCGCTTTGATCAATACTAGATTCGCTTCATGTGGAAAATTTATTGTTACGTGACAGGTGTTCCAAGCAAAGACAGTGATTCAAAGTTATGTCTTTTCCCAAAATGAATGATCGAATGAATTAATGAATAAGTAAATGAATGAATAAATAAATGAATGAATAAATAAAATGGGACAGGACATGTTTTGGTGAACAATATACATGTATGTATGTTGATTTTGTTATTTCAAATAGTTGAAACCAGAAGTCACCCACTATGCTCCAAGCTTGTACTGAACGCTAAGCCCATTGATGCATAGTAATTTTACCCATTAAGGAGCCAAGTCCAGATAAGAGGACAGAAATGAAGCCAGGGAGGGATAATATGTTCTTTTTAATCATATTCTTTAGAGATTATCATTTAAGGTATTATTCATTACCATAGAGACTTGTGCAAGTCTAGTTACCCACCAAAATATTATATGGTATTGGATGGTTGACGGGGGAAAAGGGAGGGGTAGGAGACAGTAGTAGCATCCATGAAGATTTTGGAGGGGGTATGGGTATACTATACCCGATCTATTTTCAAGTATTGCCAATTGCCCAAAAGAAAAGGAGTTTACTGTCAGTGATATGTAACATTTCATGGTTGATTAAATGTTGAGTTTTTATTGTAAAACTGTTATTAGTGTTAATTATTTCATGTGCAAAGATGAAAGGTTGTCACATTTATTTCCATGTGATAATTATCACTTATATTCTATAACCTGGATGTCAGAATATTTCAAGAATCATGTCATTCAAATGCAAATGTACCTGTTTCTGAATATATTGTAAAATCACCGTAATTGTCTTCATTACTTAAATTCTGTCATCATGTTCTGAATCACTTACTCACATAGTGTCAAATTTAGTAATGAGTATAGATAATAGAAATCCTAACTGTAGTACTTCTCATATACCGAGTAAAAATGTTTGGCAGAGGTGCATCACTTGTACATGCCAGAAACATATGCTTGTGGGTCCCAGTCCTAATTATGTTTGTTTGTAAGCACCATAACCTTGAACAACGGGGAGAGTTCTATGGACATACAGCTTCTTTATTATTAATAAACATACATGTGCACTTAAAAGAACCCACGAATCCATTGGTATATGACCTGATGGTGGCCACATGAATACGTGCAAACACCTGGTTGTGGGTACAGCAACATGCAGTAAACTTGGACAAAGTACTGTCACTATGTGTCCCAGTTCACCCAGCTGTGATTGGGTACCTCATAAGGTCAATGATGGGAAAGCCACACTAACTCGGTGCGCTTAGTGGCTGCAAGAGTTGTATGATCCCCAGGGAGTGGAGATTAATAATATGACGTGCCGTTGAGATTGACATCCAGTGATCGAGGGAAAAACAAAGCGCCTTTGAGCAGCTGAGGTGGATATCGGCGCTAAACAAATGTTAGTATTATAGTGTGTATGTAGTGATGTGCAACTGCAAATTTGACGTCTTCACTGACAAAGTCATTTTCTCTTTTCGTTCCCACGAAACGAAACATTGTCATTTTCTTACTGGTCACCAGAAAAAAAGTTTGACGAAAATGTTACCTGTAGGTAAGCCAACCCCCTTCTGCAGGCTACTTTTTTTGTCTTCAAAATTCGGCTTATCTATGGTAATATATGGTATGTCATTGGTTGTCATGAACAGGTCATGCAGTGGTAGATAACATGAGCAAACAACTTGCACTGTTAGCAAACACTCTGTCACAAATATTGAGGCTTAAAAGTTTGATAGTTGGATAACAATATGCTCCTGACTTGGTACCAAAGTACTTTACTGTACAACAACACTGCATTTCAGTTAATCATGTTAATAGCTTTGTGGGGGTAATCTACAACTCCAAGCTTGTTGCTAAATGTATAAATTCAGTGATGGTAAAAATGAAAGCAGAATAATAGTTTTTCTTTTTTCAGCTGTTATTAATTAATGTTTTGTGTTCTGAGGTAGCCTAGTGGTTAAAGCGTTGGCTTGTCACAATGACGTGGGTTGGATTCCCCATATGAGTACAATATGTATTTCTGCTTTCTTTTGTTTCAGTGAAGAATGGATCGAAGGTTGTCTTCTGCTCCAGGGGAGGTATGTCATCAACCAGTCCTTAACTAGTGTTTCTTTGTATTTCTATTTCACTTCAATAGCCCAATTTTGCTTTAACAATCTTGTGTAAAGGCTTAATGCTATGGAAAGCTGCATGTTAAATGTCATTGGATGGTTGACTGAATTTGTGAAGTTAAAGCTGTAATTAATTATATCTCTATGGTTGACTGTGAAAGTAATCATCCAGAAAAAGTTGTATGTTAAATATCATTGGATGGTTGACTGTGAAGCTGTGAAGTTAAAGCTGTGATTATTTATATCTCTATGGTTGACTCATTCTCTTCCCACAGAGGTTACTTGTCATATCTTCCTACGAACCTCTGTTCTAATACGGCCATATTTTCCGGTTCTCGTAAAATCCCCTAGCGGCAAAAGATCGCAACACGAATTATCTCCCTTCTTTCTATCCAATCAGAACACGTGTTACATCGACTTAGATTCAACTTGACTAACGCAAGCAAATGTGGGGCCACAAATATCCCCCATCTGCCGGGGACTTGTGTTGATATTACACACAAGACGTTTAATGGCTAGCTTGTCCGTTGTCAACAAGGGCGATGGAGACGCCACTGATCCGCCATAGCATGACTGCGTTCTGTCCAGAAAAAACGTTTGCGCATTGCGCAGGGGAAGAGGTTTAGTTTTCTCGAAGCATACGGAAATTACCGAGGCCTTGCGAATGATCACTTTTGAAACAACGTCGCTGATTGCACAACTAAATCTGATTGCCTCCAATCACGAGTCTTGAAGGCTCACACCATGAAAAGGCCGTATTAGAACAGAGGTTACGTAGGAAGATATGACAGGAGTAACCTCTGTGGGAAGAGAATGTGGTTGACTGTGAACGTATAATCATCCAGGGAAAGCTGTATCTTAATTGGATAGTTGACTGTGAAGTTGTGAAGAGAAATGTGTAAACCATTTTATTTTGATGATAGACTGTGAACATGTGAAGGAAGACTGCAATTGTATTTGGATGGTTGACCGTGAACTTGTCAAGGGAAAACTGTAATTGTATGTGAATGGTTGACTGAAAACTGATGACTGGGAAACTGTGTACAAACAGTACAGAGGGGTTGACTACTGCAGAAAGCTATTATGAGCACTTGGACAGGGAAGCTGACCCTGAAGAATACTAAGTGGTTGACTGCAAAGGAAAACCACAAATATATACAGGGGTTCAAAAATCCCATCGCCCGACGCCTGGGTCAAGTCAGTTTTCATTTCGGGCAATCAAATAATGGTATCTTACTTGTCCGTGGGCTACTAGATAATTTCCACTTATGGTTTCAAACCGCAAATAAACTTGGATTTAATTTCATATCTGCTCAAAATGTAGCTATTAAATTTTGCAAATGTAGCTATTAAATTTCGCAATGATAATAAAGCTATTTATCACTTTTCAATAAATAGTCCAGTAAACATTAACATCAAATACCATGTTGATTTCTTCTTTCATAATAACATCATCATGATTATGTCATAAAATCAGGGCAAGTAGAAAATTAGTCAGGACAAGTTACTTTCTTAAAGTCACTTGCCCTGTGGCAAGTGGCTTTTTAAAAAAAAATTGAACCCCTGATATATAACCTTGGTAACATGGATTGTTGGCAGGTCTTGGTATGTTATGTTCTAGGTGTTCCACTGTTGGCATCTGCATTGACAAACATATCTCAGTCAATCAATGTGCTGTGGTGGTTTGTTTATTTGTTGTTTAATGCAGCACCCAGCAATATTCCAGGTGTATTGTGGCGGTCTGTAGATATAATTCTGTCATGGTGCCAGGTAGAACAAGAGACTACTACAATATACACAGATTTATTTACAAGGAAAACATGTATATAAGTAGCTAGCAAATATATATAATAATGGTGAGCATACACAGACTGTCCAAGGACTGAGCATGCTCCTCGGTAGGCAGGGGTGGGTATTGCAGAGAATTTTCATATTGCAATATATTGCGATGCAAAAGCATATATTGTGATATGTATTGCAATATATTGCAAGAACTTTTTTTTAACAATAAACTACATATAATCGAGTTAACGCTTTATTTATAAAGCAAAAACAACAAAATCACTAAGCTTTTAATAAAAACTTTTGATCTCAAATAACATTTGGCACAAATGAAACAAGGAAAAGAGTAATTTAACATCAACAGAGTGGTTACTAGTTTGAACTTTCTCCACTCTAAAAAAAAAGCCATGAGATTTTAATCAGCAACTTGACCTGGTCAGGACATATCAGGGATCATTGGTCATTTATGAGTAAATATTTAAAACATTCTGATCCAAAACATTGCGAAACACTTGTACAAAAATTAAGAACACAACTTCAAACCGAACTTTACAATCCAGTTAAATGTAAATCTTTGAAGGGCATGTAGAAGTGGAATGCATAAGAAAAGCAAGATTTATGTATGTCAACTTGATTCACAATAAAAATTAGACGCTGACATCCATAAATATTGCATTTCTCAGTTAAATGTGATTTTCACCACGATCATTCCCACCACCATTACCACAGTTGCCATGATCGTCAAGGTTTCCGAGTGTTACGAAGTTTTCCGAATGCATGTCAAAATACCGGTTTTCGATCAGCGTATCCCAATACGTATTGTTTTCATGTCTGAACCGGTTAATACCGGTAAACCAGTTATATTGCGCAGCCCTATCGGTAGGTGATTGTTGTTGCAATGGAGCACCTTCTAAACTGTAGCTAGCTGTAGCCAGCTTGTTCAGGATGGCTGACAGTCAGTGTATATAAAACAATGTGGCTTGACAGCTATAATTAGCATCTTATAAGTAATGGCATTTCACTGAGTCTAAGGGATGATTAATGAGATAAACATTATATATATTTATTCACAAAGTGAATACAGATTGGAAAATAAAACGTTTTGTTATCTCCCACAACGCGTTTTGCGGGGGGGGTATTAAAATGCACTCCGTGTGTGTGTGTGTGTGTGTGTGCGTGCGTAAGCGTATGTCGTGCGTATGCGTCTTGTAGCGTCGTCCTTCTGTCTGTCTGTGCGTGCGTGCGTCCGTGCACATTTGTCTTTTCCGGAGTAGAACTTTTAAAGCGTTCAATATTTCTTCACCAAACTTGGCAGATAGTTAGGTCTGGTGGTGAACTGGTGCCTTTTGGTAGTTTTGGATTTCTGATTATAATATGTTTTTGCTTTCCCATGGCAACAAGTTTGACTTTGATTGAAATTGGTGTTATTGCACTTTTCCGGAGTAGAACTTTTAAAACCGATCACAATTTCTTCACCAAACTTGGCAGATAGTTAGGTCTGGTGGTGAACTGGTGGCTTTTGGTAGTGTTGGATTTGCAAATAAAATATTTTTGCGTTTCCATGGCAACAAGTTTGACTTTGACTGAAATTGGTAGTAGTTCACTTTTCCGGAGCAGAACTTTAAAACCGTTCACTATTTCTTTACCAAGCTTGGCACATACATACATCTGGTGGTGTACTGGTGCCTTTTGGTAGTTTTGGAATTCTGAAAAAAATATTTTTGGCATTGCCATGGCAACAAGTTTGACTTAGATTGAAATTGGTGGTTGTGCTCTTTTCCATAGCAGAACTCTAAAATTGTTCACTATTTCTTCACCAAACTTGGCACATAGATTGGTCTGGTGGTGTACTGGTGCCTTTTGGTAGTTTGGGATTTCTGAATAAAATATCTTTGCATTTCCATGCCAACAAGTTTGACTTAGACTGAAACTGGTGGTAGTGCTCCTTTCTGGAGCAGAACTTTTAAAACCTTTCAATTCTCTCCTTCCACTTTTCTATATACAAACCAAAACATTTGACATAATCATAACTCGTAGACATATTCATGAAGAGTATTTTGCCATTGCGGGGGATATTGATGACTTTGTGTTCTTGTTGTATTTAAATACCTCTCCGTTACAATATACAGTAGTAAATAGTGATATGTACAACACAAAACACATTTGGAGAGCATTGTTTCATAAAACACTTTTGGAGAGCAAGTGATTTAACACTTTCAGAATTTTGCCTCATTGAAGCAAAAATAAGATCGTTGACTGAATTCAGTAGATTTACATCATTTGGATTTTTCTTTTAGAACAGAATTTAAATAACAGAGAAATCCTTATAAATTGAATTTGATTATGATTGGAGCAAATGAAGAAAAAATGAAGCAGATGTTTATTAAGAAGCCCACAGAGCATGATGGACTGTTCTAGATGAGATGATTACACTCAATGTTTGGCAAACATGAAACGGTAACTGGGTAATTAATGTATACATGCATTTTCAATAAAAACAAGTATTTATCGAACAACAAAACACGCATGTTGATACTTTACAAAATTGTGTGAAATATCATATAAATAGCAAAAGAATTACACATTTTAAAAATATATATCAATGTAATAGTGTTAAATAATTAATACACAGTGAATATGTATTAAACAACTGGTCTCTGCAAATATGATTTATTTTTCTTATTTTCCTCTAATGCATTCTACACAACTCTCTTGTAACCATCGCACATTTTGTTATATTTGGAATTTTACAAAAATGTCACCATTTGCATATTGAACAATGGCCCCTTGACAGCCATTGGCATATGATGCATTTATATGCTATGCTAAAAGGAAATATTATCATATTATCATGGAAATTATTTGTATTTCAGTAATTTCATAAAACATGAGTTGGTATTTCTCTGCTTGGAGTAAGAGGTGACTAATGGGGATCGGGTGGTGAGGCTCGCTGGCTTGGTTGTCACATGTTATCGGTTCCCAATTGTGCAGATCGATGTTCACGCTGTTGATCACTGGATTGCCTGGTTCAGACTTGATATTTACAGACCTGGAATATAGCTAATAAACTAAATAAAATAAAATAAATAGAATATAAACTAAACTCACTCACTCACTCTCTGTTTGCAATATCAAACTGATTGTTCCTAAATCAGAATCAATGTGAAAAGATAGGATATTCTATC